CCGCCCCGGCCTTTAGGGATTCACCAATAATGTAATGTCGGATAGCGAAACTCGATCCGCCCCGTATGGACCGCAGACTTCATGTATTTACAAAACACCCCGGCTGCATTTCAATAACAGCGCAGGGCGCAGCGGCGCAGCCGGGCCACAACAGCAAAAAAAAAAAAAAAGAAAAAAATGTTATCAAACGAGGGAAAAGGACAACAGTTTTGACACGCGCTCGGGCGTAGGAGGAATTGTAATAATCCCAGATCAAAATAAAGGGGAAGGGGGAAAGAGCTCTGCACAAAGTCATTAGCACGGTGGAACCAAAGTGTGCAGCAGGAGGCACTACTGGCACCAGTTAGCAAGCCACCGTGGGGAGATAAATCAATACGAGGTAAGCCTCTCCCCCAATCCCGCGTCACAACAACAACCACTTTTTAGGCCGTCCGACGACCCTCGCAGTCATTACCGCTGAGCCGCATAGAGCGCGGGGTAGCGCCACACCTGCGGCCGGCGGGGCGGGGTGGGGCGGGGTGGCGTTACCCCTTGCGTCAATCCGCCCCGCCCCGCCCCGCCCCGCTCCCCGGGGAGCAGCCCCATGTGCGCCATTCGCACGCAGGCGGATCTCATATCGGGGAGGTTGCTCGGCATCAACATGCAAACTTAACTAGCTAATCTATTTTAGCACGCGCGCCCAGAGGATAATAATTGTTTCAGGGTCAATCCGGCGGGGGAGAGATCTACGGACGGCGGCGCCCCCTCCCCGCCAGACAACATCATCCTCCAGGGCCGCGCGACACGACGCAGGGGAGCAAACACAGCACTGTAGTGGAAAACGGCAGTAGACAAATACCTGTCATGTTGAGCGCCAGTCGACGACCTGCTGCTAGATCGGCGGGTGGTAGGCAGCAGCGCCGAGCACCCGCGCACGATCGGGTGCCTACGCTCCCCGGCGGCGCCTCGACGCGCGCAGAGCAGACAGCCGCGAAGAGACGCACCGAACATCGCGAAGCTTCTCCAGGGACACCCCATCACAAGGTGCAGCTTCTCACTCAGAACTTGTCGACACCTGCGCAGGGAAACATGTGTGTGAAAATAGTAACTCATCAGACATGAACAACTCCTAATGTTATTTCACAAGCAACAATAAGATATGTCAAAAGTCGGGCACTAGGTAGAAGAAACGAGATTACACTGTGTATGGTGACACATGATTCCAAATTTTGGCATCAAAAAAGATGTTATTTGGAAACAAATGTGTTGCCAACAAAACCCGGGTGGAAGGATCTTCACTTAGACTACAGTTTAAACTGTAGTGTTGAATTTGAAGACATCAAACTCCATTTAAAATGTAGAAAAAAGGAGGGTAATTTCTGAAGTTTATTCACGACTGCAGTATTGGGCTTTTGTTATCAGTTAGTCCGCAGTCGGACTGCACTTTTTATGTTTGTTACATACTAAAGTTCCAATTTGCACTTGTGAGTTTAGTTAAAAGACATTGTACAAACAAGTATCAATCCGTTGTTTAACTACTGAGTAAAAGTGTATTCTAAATTACACAGTTAATACGCTGGAATAACATTCTAAACAGAGATATTGGGACGAGTAATTTTGCGCTGTCAGTGTATTACTTTTTTTAAAGTATAGCTATACTTTCCACTGCTAAGTGTACTTATGTTAAAACCTGAGGTACTACTCACAGTTGAAATTGTTGATTAAATTTATTTATATGAACAAGAGAAGGTGAGAACTTTGAGAAAAATTTGGTGAATTTACTTGTTATTTCCACATTAGATTACTTGATCATTGTGTTCAACAGAAAATTTGAACATTTTAACGTATCTAAAGCAAAAGTGTTTCACTTCTGTCCGACTTATGTTGCCATTTGTGGTCACAATTTCAAGTGTCGCCTTACTAAGGTCACATGCGTTTTCATTTTTGGCAACAAATTTATGTCTTGCCAAGAAAGGAAGTATATCTAACATTTCAAGGCGGCAATTAAAATTGTCATCAAAAATTGAAACACATGTAGGGCAATACGCAACTAAATCAGCGGATATTTTTGTATGTAAATAAAATGGTATACATATTGCCTGATTTAAAGCAACTTCTTAGCTGTCACTAAATTAAGGCAACAAAACAAAAATATCCCCAATTGTGGTCACACGTATGATTCCTTATTAGTTGCAGTGCATTTAGGGGAAGTCCGCGACAGAGCGCCCGTTTGGTGCTGCTTGCATCCCCTGTCGGGCGGCGGGCGAACCCCGTCGCCGATGGGGGTGGCAACCCCTGGCGCAGTTGAGAGGGTCTGCGAGAGAGGGCGGCACCGGTCCGCGGGGCGCGCAGCTCCGGGGAGGGCGGGCAACAGGTGGCCCCACGAGGCGCAGGCCACCCGGCACCGGCCAGGCCACTCCGGCCGAGCGCGGCCAGGAGGCACGAAAGGGAGGAGAGAGAGAGGATGCTGTCGACCTTACCTGGGGGCACGTCGTCGGGTCGGATGGAAGGCTGTCGTGGAGAGGAGGACGCCGTCGACGGGGAAGACTCAGTCAATGAGTAGGACGGCGTCGATAGAGAGGACGGCGTCGATAGAGAGGACGCCGTCGATAGAGAGGACGCCGTTGATGATGAGGACGACGTCGTGCTAGGGAGAAGCAGCAGGCCGTCGGATGTCCATCTGCAAGAAGGGGAGCAGGGATTTAGTTAGACATGGCAGGAAGGGGCTGCGCAGGGCGGGGGCCGGAAACAGCGGGAGGCGAAAATTGCCCCCGACGGACGGCCAAAATCATTTTTCAGTGGGGCTAAAATGTGTATGACGGCCTGCCTACCTTCCAGGGGCCGAGATTACCCGCCGCCATGAATAATGCGACTCCGGGCGGGGCAGCGGTGGGTTCATGAGGAGAGCCGGAGGAGAATCGGAGGGAGAGCAGGGAGAAGAGCAGGGAGAAGAGCAGAGAGGAGAGCAGAGAGGAGAGCAGGGAGGAGAGCAGGGAGGAGAGCAGGGAGGAGAGCA